TAATATACATTTGAATGTTAACATTCAAACTTGATTACAATCTCAGGCATAACGTCGACCGTGTACTTGAGAAACTACCTTTATTTTCTGAGCATTTTCTATTCGTGTGGGTAAGATGAATGTCATTACAGTTTGCTGACTTTTTGTTGTCTATGATTCCTACATATTTATGTTCGACTGTTTGTGAACAGAATCAAGAAAAATGCAAAACATACGATTCTGTTACCTACTGTAAAGATCTCAATGATGTTTGGAACGCGTGTCCAGATTTTAACGAGCTAAATACACTTTTGGTCGATGATTCAGCGGAAAAAATGATCTATAATCCGGTAAGTTGCATTTATGCAATATGTTTTTCCAGTTGAACAGGTGTTCAAACATTGATTATTTTAACAACTTATGTGTTTATATAGAAATACAATTACATATGGCTTTCAAGGTCGACCAGTTTTGTGATCTGGAAGGGCTTCGTATGGGAACTTAAGTAATCCGCTTTCAACTCGTTCATACGCATTCTACTAATTCCATCTTCAATTGCACGAACAACATCTAAATATGTCTTCTTCTGTTTCAGTGCAATAGCTAGTGAAGCATTCATAGACTCGCACCTTTGTGTTGAGCGAATATTTGCAAAGAAATGACCTGTTAGATATGCTTGTGCCCATAAGTGTCGTGTATTTCCCTTCTCAATCACCCATGGATGCTTTTGGACGTTGAATTCTGAAACAACCGAACGCCATTGAATATCAAATTCCTTGGTTGTCCACCAGGAAGCCATGCATTTTGAGAATGCTGCTGTAAACTTTGGGTCACCAATATTAGCTTGTGCATTGCGAGAAAGATGCCAAGAACATAATATGTGCTTAGCATAAGGGATAACAGATTTGATAGCCCTCTGCATTGCCCTATCCCCATCAGTGACAACTGAAATAGGTGATTTATTCATCATGGCTTCTAAAAAATTCTGTAGCACCCACTCGAAAGATTGAGACGTCTCGTCAGCGATTATGGCGGTGGCAAACACAATTGTGTTATGGTGATGATTGACACCAACAATAGGCATAATTGGTCGACCATACAAATTATCTTTGTACGTTGTGTCGAACGTAATTACATCACCGAAGCATGTGTAATCCGATCTCGATGTAGAATCCGACCATATAAGATTATACAATGCCCCCGATTCGTCTACCGAGTATGTCATAAAAAACTCGGGATCATCATGTTTCTTATAATCAAAGTAGGCAATAAGCGCATTCACATCTCCATCGACGATTTCCTTTGCTTTACCTCTTTGAAGTGCATTGTAGAGGTCTTTATGTGTAAATCCAACATTATGATAGCCCCCTGCCTGCTGCGTTAAATAGTTCATTACTTGTGACGTGCCAACACCGACCTCTTTCAATGTTGTTACCTCATCGATATCAGCCTTACTTACAGCTCTATTAGAACGCATAAATGGTGTCATAGCAGGTGTGCACAATGCATGATTATGTTTCTGATCAGACTTACTTATAACCCACTGATTGTTTGTATTTGTTGCTGTAACTACGACTCTAGCCTTACATCCTGTTCTTGTGACTGGCGTATGAGCACGTTGACGATCAACAGTATTGACTTTTGATACTCGAAACCCTTCTTTGGAACAACAAAATTCTTGTGTCTTCACATTCCCTTCCACGTCAAGCCGTGTTGTTCCCTTACGTGCACTAAACCCATGTTCCCGTGCGAATCCCTTGTAAAAGTACCAAGCTTGATCACGTGAACAGAAGAGCTGACCAACCAATCTGTCAGATTCATCAACATTATGTACTTCATGGCATTCCTCGGTTGGCTTAACATTGTCTACATCAGTATTATCCATGGCAAAAATTTTGTTGTGCAAGTTCAGTGGTCCAGGAGTTGATGGAGATGTAAGCAAAGGTTCATTTTGAACATGTTTCAGTCGTGCTGCTTTCAATAGGATGTGGTATTGGTAGTGGTAGTTAAAGGGTGGGTACAACATTAAATTCGCAGTACATATTTAGGTATGTACAATAACTACAAGTATATATTATCATTAAATTTAGGTATGTACAATAACTACATATTTAGGTATGTACATCTTTTGAGTGGGTTTTAAGATATTAATTTAGTAATTATAGGCGTCTAATGATTTATTTTTTACGTTACGATATATATTATTATTAAATTAAAAACAATAAACATATATATTACATATTTATTATTATCTTTGGTTAATATTGTTAAATTTAAATTCTAAATATTATTTTATAAAATATCAAAACAATCAAATAATTTTTTGTGCAAATGAAATTATTAAATTAATATTGTAGGTGGAAAACATGAAACACTATTAAAAAAATTGAAACATAAATTACATAACTTTAAAAAAAGTATCGATCCTTTTTATAAAAAGTATGGACACTTTCAATATAATAGGTAAAAATATGATGTAATAGGTACGCTTATAATGTAATAGGTAGCGTTTATATAATGTAATAGGTAGTGCTTATATTGTAAAGTATCTATCCTTTTTATAAAAGTGTCCATACTTTTTTCACTGTGGAAAACATTAATTTAAGGTTATCTTTTGAGTGAGTTTTAAGATATTAATTTAGTAAATTAAAAACAATAAACATATATATTACATATTTATTATTATCTTTGGTTAATATTGTTAAATTTAAATTCTAAATATTATTTTATAAAATATCAAAACAATCAAATAATTTTTTGTGCAAATGAAATTATTAAATTAATATTGTAGGTGGAAAACATGAAACACTATTAAAAAAAATTGAAACATAAATTACATAACTTTAAAAAAAGTATCGATCCTTTTTATAAAAAGTATGGACACTTTCAATATAATAGGTAAAAATATGATGTAATAGGTAACACTTATATAATGTAATAGGTAGCGTTTATATAATGTAATATGTAGTGCTTATATTGTAAAGTATCTATCATTTTTATAAAAGTGTCTATACTTTTTTCACCGTGGAAAACATTAATTTAAGGTCATCTATTGAGTGAGTTTTAAGATATCAATTTAGTAATTATATGTATCTAATGATTTATTTTTTATGTTACGGTATATATTATCATTAAATTAAAAACAATAAACATATATATTACATATTTATTATTATCTTTGGTTAATATTGTTAAATTTAAATTCTAAATATTATTTTATAAAATATCAAAACAATCAAATAATTTTTTGTGCAAATGAAATTATTAAATTAATATTGTAGGTGGAAAACATGAAACACTATTAAAAAATTAAAACATAAATTACATAACTTTAAAAAAAGTATCGATCTTTTTTATAAAAAAATATAGACACTTTCAACATATTATAATGTAATAGGTAAATTTACAATGCTATCGGTATAAATATATCGGTTTACTTATAAAATAGGTCAATATAAGCGCTACCTATTACATTATATAAGCGCTACCTAGTATGTTATTGTACTTTATAATATTTCCGGTTAAATAATATAACATAATCGGTCTAAATTTTAACTGATCACTTATTTAACCGATCACATATTATATTAACCGTTTTTTAGACGCCGCACCGCATAACTACCCAGAATAATGGCCATGTGTTCCAGTAAAATAAAACGTATCTGATCCATTTTTAATAATAACGTCTATATGAATTCGAGAGTAGGACAAAATATTAACGCTTATTTTATTATTCCAAAGCATTCTGATTCCATTTCACTATATTTTTATAAAATCAAATTAAATAAATATTATAAATTCTTATAAAAAAAAAAAATTTAAAAGTTATAAATTAAAATTTATGTATAAATTATAATGAAAATATATAATTAAAAAATATAAAAAATAGTTATACAATTAAGAAGAGCATTTTAATGAATATAACATGATAGAGAGAAAAAACACCTAAATTTGATTTAGAAATAGTAATAGAAAATTGTCGTACCTTACCAATTTCTGTTAAATACAACCATATAAAGTCAATGTAGATATGAACTTCACCTGTTTGAGTTTTTTTTAATAATTCCTAATTTTTTTTAATTTTCTCAATGAATAGAAATTTTGTCTCTATAAAATAAAAATAAAATTAACATTAGAATTTATCTTTAAGTTGAATGATTTAGTTAACAATAACATTTTTAAACAATCCAATTAATATATATATATATATATTTTTTAATAATTTATTTTTAATTTTTAGTAATTTATATTTAATTTTTCTATATTTGTATGCTTTAAATTTAAAATTTAAAATAACTTTTTAAAAACATCAAATAAGTCCTTGAACTTAAAAAACCAATTTGACCCTCAAACTCAATTAAAAAAATCAATTTAATTCATTTATCACATCATCAATCTCGCTACAAGCCTATGTGGACCGTCACATCAACATTATAAAATACCACATCAGCATTATAATAGTCAACAACGAAAACCGTCGATTAAAGAACCACTTTAAATTTATTTTTAAGTTTGAGGATCATTTTGGATAAAAAAATACAAGAGCCATTATGAATCTTTTTTTTTTAAAAAAAAGTACAAATACATCATATATCCTTTTGTCTAAAAAAAAATTCTCAATAGCTACCTATTATTTTTTTTAAAAAACACTTTTATCTACCGTCGATTTTAAAATCCGTATGAAGTTAATTACTTTCTTACTACCTTATTATATGACTATTAATATGAAGAGTAGTAGTAGGTTGACGACTAATGGTTAATTTTACACTGATCTAGGATCGATGGTTGATTATTTTCTGAAAGACAAGCGCAAAATGAAACCCCATTGGATGAGGGAAAAGGATGATAATAAACAACACAAGGAGCACCTTTGAAGAAACGAAAGAGGTTATGCTATGTAATACTAATATCTCTACCAAAAAGATAAAAACTTGCCAAATAGTAATAACACTCTGTAGCCTGTACAGGAAGTAAAGCCATTCCAGCAGCAGCACCCTCCTCTTTTCCAATCTCCCGCCTTTAGATTATAAACATGGCATCCAACAGACACTCTTTTACAATAGAAGCCTGAGTAAAAGGGCCGTAATTAGCTCAAGGAAATGTAAAGATTGAAAGGTTCGCCAAAAAGTCTTGGATGCCATTCCGAGTGTGGCACGACCTGAACACCCCTTTTATGCTAGTAACTGCAGAAACAACATTATTTATATGCCAATGCCTCCTCATTACCCGTGTTATCGGTATTCTCTCCTGCACTCTCGTCATCTTACAGATTAGCTGAGACTGTCAACTCTGTCGATAACATCCAATGCTTTCTCTTTGTACATGCCAAAACCAACAATTGGAACCCCCGAAGGAAGCCTTTTCATCAAGACCTTTTCCTTGCTTTCTCTTGGAGGAGATTGTGTGCTCTTGCTCAGGCGATCGTGCCTTCTCAATTTCCTCCTCTCATAGTCAAAATCCAGACTTCTGCTAATCCCCCGGATTCCTACTTTCTTAGTTAAATCCTGCAACAACTTCTCTTCTTCTGGCGTTTGACCGATGGTAGGCTCAGTTTTGGGCTGCTCATTCTTCTGTGCGGGTGTAATTTGGGTTTTGATAGATTTCCCCAAGCCAAGAGCGACACTTGACTTTGATTTGTTGACCAAATAGTGGAGCCATAATAGTTGTTCAAGAATGTAGGTTTCGGTTTTCTCTTTATCAGCATGGTAGAGTGTCTCGATCCGGATCACATCGGCTGGCCCAGCTGAAGGCTTCCTGTTGAGCTCAGAACTTTGTTAAAAAGAAAAAAAGTAAGTTTCTCCTCTTCTATGGCACATATTTTGCTGGTTTCTAATCAAGGGAATAAGGGGAAACCTATAGTTACTCACCCAGTGTTTGCCCATTCCCCAACCCAACCAAAACCATGATGGGCTCTGTGTAAGTGCAATGAAAGAACAAAGATTATTAGAACAGTTAACAAATAAAAATGGTCAAAAAAAAATTAAAACAAACATAAAGAGAAGGACGGAAGCTTCTTATTTGTGAAATAGATTATCATTTTGGATCTTGTGAAAACAAAGGATAACTATCTTACTTGGCAGTGTTAGTGGCTAGTGAAACAAGCCAATGCAACGTCTTCTCCATCTCATCTTTGACTTCTTTAACAGTAAGCTGGAGAATTCCATATGAGCGATAAGAAGGTAAACAAACATAAAAGGATTACTGACAAGAAAGCACTGCTTGGTTGGTAAGAAATATAAAAGAGTTTTTAGAAACAAACTGCATCTTCCCTTCAAAAAAGAAATTGGCAAACCATGGAATACCTCTTCTTTGACATTAAAAGATTGTAATTTTGGGCGTAGAGCTGATTTTATGGAAGGTGGCAAATTCTGGTATAACGTATCCCTTGTATTTGCAGGAATAGAACTTGATCGGGCTACCTGATGAACATAAGGATAATAGGAGGAAGCTTTAAAAACATAAATCTATAGAAGCAAAATCAAGAAGAGTAGATATTTGATTATTTTAAGACAAACTAGATAAAATCAGTGCATCATTTATCATAGGTAAAAGAAAATCTGATTAAACTACTAACGTAATCCCATTGATAACCAAGTCAAGCAGCACATTAGCCAAACTTTGAACGAACCATTCAAGCGACTCAAGGTAAAAAGCAAGCACCAAACCAAGCTCTTAACATATTTTTATTAAATTTTATGCATTTTTTTTATTTACTAAAACTTAGATTAGGAAGAGAACTATTCAATAGGTCACTTAGGATGAGAAATCTTTCCCATACACAGTTTTATCCTTGTGCAATAGCAGGAAAACACGGACACATGCATGCACATTTACACATGTATATGCGGCTATGTAAACATACACATGCATGTTTGTATCTCTCTAACAGCTTAGACAATCTTTCGCCCATGCTTATTTTCCTTTTAATTGTGGCTTGTCTAATTAAGTTTTAATTAAAGATAATATTAGAATGCAATATGCATGACATGTCATATGTAGCAACACATTGGGCGTAGTTCAATCTATGCTGTCAATAACCTTAAAAATATTGTGTTCCATACTCATTTTCAACAAAATTTAAAATATAAAAATAAAATAACTATGGAAGAATCAATGCCAAACAAGAATACATGCAAGAGAAAAATCAGAGAATACAAACTCACAAGAGTATCAATTTGCATAATTATATTTGCATAGTGCAAAGCAAGGCCTGCAGGTCCCAATCTTTGACGACTGCTCAGAGATCCTTCGGCTGATATCTGATACTCTATAAAATTCCAATGAAGGGAAAAAATTCATTGGAACATCTATATTTATATTTAATTAATGAACAGTTTTTTGCTCAAGACACAAAATAGGCCCTTGCTCAAGTGAATTTTTAGACAGTAATTAAATATGCAGGAAGAAGAAAATTGTATGTATCATAAGTATCTAAATTTGTTAGCAAAAAATTAAATATTAAACAGTTTAATCCATTACATGGCCTAATCTGTTCCCGAGACCAAGCATTATCATAACTATTAAGTGGTTGTTTCCTATGATATAGCAAGCGTTGTTATTCAGAACAATTAAACATAAAAAACAATATACATCATAACATGAACAATTAAAAGTTGAACAGTTCACTACATGGCCCAACTGTTCTCATATCCATTTAACTATTGGATTTCCTTTGACCTATAACCAAGTGCTTTTAGGTTGAATGCTTAACAGTAACCTGTCATAAAAAATTCCAAGTTCTGTTTACTTCCTTCTTTACAAAGAGTTGTGCAACAAGTATATTTCTCAACTTTTTATACATGAAAATAGCCAGGTTTTTAGTTGGCATGCTCTTTGGGAACCTATTCCCTAGAAAGAAAGATGCGCCTATGCCCAAAAGATGAGCACCTCACTATGGTGTTTTGCTTAATTTGCACTGCAATTTGTAGCCTTGACAACACTGAATTAGTCAGTATCAATCATGCTCCAGCATAACTTAAATATTTTTTTTTTTGATAGAAGTTGGAGGTCTCATTAAAAACTCCTTTCGTATTCGTTCACATACTAAAAGTATGTTAACGAACATTGGAAGGAAGAAAAGAGTACCTCAGATTTTATTAATATAATACCCGGTACAAAAGACACCACGGAATATCCTCTCATGGTGATGTACACCATTACAACAAAAACCTTAACCTCATAAAACCTCATCCAAAGCCACAGTCAAATCACCTTACTACTAATTACACCACCAACAGTAGTAATAAAAACAACGCGACAGAACATAATACAAAATGAAAGCAACACCTACAACCATATAGACTAAAATAAAACCACAAATGAAGAGACGAGATCTAATGAGACTTGTATTCTTCAGGAGCCCAAGAGTTTGGTTTGAATGAAGGTTCTATCTCATGCACCATGACCTTGAAGAAATTGTCACCAACCTTCAATTCAACCATCGAATCAATTCTCGCATCAGCCTTTGTTAGGACTTGAATTTTAGCCCGATCAAAGGATGATGGAGATTGACAACTTTCGTTGATAGCCAATAAAAGACCTCACTTATCAGCAATGTTCTTGAAAGTATTCCAATTCCATGCGTGAAAAGGAACACCCTCGCAAACTAGCCATACTCGACGACACTCCATTACCAAACTCTCTGACCAAGCTTCGACTATGGAGAACCACTCTGCGAGAATCTTTGATTTGTCGTTCTTTACACTTCTCAATGAAGCATTGTCTTCGAAAATCATTAAAATCGCATTACCAGCAGCTCTCATTAATGTGAAGCCAGTGAGACCCTTCGATTGCATTTGTCTAGCGAGATGACCAATTTTAACAAAGTCCTTGCACCACCCCACTAGACAATTGCTCAACACCTGGAGTTTTTCTTCATCTATAACACCTTCAACTTTATAATGATTCTTACTCGAAACATCTTCCATCCCAGACTTGCGAAGAATACTTGTCGATGACTTTCTCCAATATGAATGACGAGGTTTGAATTTAGCGAAAGAAACACCAATTTTGCTGCCGTCGATACGAGAGCCATTCATTTTAGAGATCGTTCTCCTTGCTTCTTCGAATGATGCGAAGCGAATAAAACCAAAACGAACTCCTTTTGAATTCCTTTTATTTGGAATAAAAGCATCAAGTACCCAGCCATGAGAGCAAAATAAAGATCCAAACCTCTTCCAATGGATCTTCTCTAGTAAATTATCAATAAATAACGTGAAGCATCCAGACTTGTCATTGATGCAATCCTTTGTGGTGGACTCCCCGGATCCATCTTGGACAGCAACTGCGGTAGACTTTTCAACATAACACCCAGATTTATCATGCACATGAATACTTGGAGGCGCTCCAGGAGCTGGATTTGGCACAGGCAAAACCGGAGGAACAGGATGACAGCTATAAATGTCCACTGCAACAGAATCAGTACCCATTCCTTTTTTAACAACCAGATTTTTCTTTGCCATCTCAATGTACAAAAGAGACTTCAACTTGTCATCAAAAACCATCTCCTGAAGGGTATCTTTGGCAGCAACAGCAAATTTTGCAGTAGAGAATAGAGCGAAACCCTTGGGCTCTTTTCCCTTGAAGCTCACTTGCGAGGCTTCAAAACCTGGAAGCCATCTCAGCAAGTTTTGCAGCTCTCTCTCTTTGACATCTGTAGGCAGACCCGAAATGAAGATGGTACGAACCTTTTCATGATGAGAATGATGATTAGGCGAAGAAGGCGAGGCTGCAGAGGACGGAGGAGCTATGACCGGAGGTCTCTTTTGGTTACACGGGAGGATTCCTTCACCCGACATTAGAGGAAATCTAAGTGACTTAACGTAAAATCCCCGTCGCGCGCCTGGCGATGGAGAATGTTTGACTGGCCGACGAAGAAGAGAATGATGGTAGGGATAAAGAGAGTCGGACAGGAAGGTCCTGAGCCTTCGAAAAGGAGGAACAACGTAAACTTCCTTCTACCAAACCCTCAAACTTAAACGGGATCGTGAAAATCAGATACTGCCTTCAACAAAACTCTCAGACGTGGATTAGATCGGGGGAATCGCTTAGCAGAACCTTGGCTTGTTCTGATAAGTCGAACCGGTCAAAGGCAGACTCACGGGGAATGGCAGCAAGACTGAACGCCAAGACAGAAAAGGAAAAGATCGCAAGTGAAAGACGAGCCCGAAGGTCATACGATGAACTGACTACGGCCGACGGCAAAAACGGTAAATAACGGCGATCAGATCTGCGCCGAAAGAAAGACTTTCTCGAATATCCAAACTCAAAAAAGAAAACAGAGTGAGGAGACGATCTTCCTGATGAAAAATGGCGGCGAACGGATGACGGAAAGTGGCGGCGGACGGCGGATGTCGGACGGCAGACGGTGGACGGTGGACGGCGGATGTCGGACGACAGACGGCGGCCGGAGGAAAATGATGAAAGACGTGGGCGAGCGGCGATGGAAAAAGATGAGATGAAATGATGGATGAAAAATAAAAGACGCCTTGAAAAATATTAATGAATGCGCACATACCATTACTACCAAAGGCATAGTGGATCTCCAAGATCAAGTAATGAACAATATCCACAAGTTTCTCCATGACCTGCAACCAAAAATGATAGGTTGAACAAGTATCAACATCACATTTTGCTCGACATTAACATTTCATGAAACTAACTTATTAGCCAATAGTGTTTTCTAATTTTCTAATGGGAAAAAGTATTAGTTAAAGAAAGAAGGATATATGCGAAAAGTGTCATCATGAGAAAATAAAGGTTAAAAGAAAAAGTAATCTGCAATACCTCTTCCAAACTTTTGGACCAAAGTGACTTTTTCTTTAAATTTCTAACGTGCTTTCTTTGGCTTTTTAGATCAGCCCTCAGGATAGCGAGGCTATCACCTGCATATTAAAGAAAAATGATACAAACTGGATATTTAATAGTTTGCAGATAAATAACTCCAATCCTGTTCAAGCTTCTCCCAAATTCTACAAGACTTTTATTTATGAATTTATTTTGAGCGGAAGGGGTGAATATAGGTGAAAATAAAGACATAAAAGGAGATATAACCATGCAAAAGAGTTAAGTGCAGCATTGAAAATTAAGGCATTAGCATTAATTACGAAAAAATCAAAATAACCTAAGAATAAAAGTGATTCATATTTTCATTTTAAAAAAACAATTTAAAGAAATATGCACCATTTCCCATCTCTAATGCAAGCCTTGAACCTGGCATTAATATGCTACTCTAAAGAAATGAAGCATGTGGATTAATAATTCTTGCTACATAAAAACTTTCAAATACAAAGAGCAATATATTCCTACAAATAAGTTAGAGATCAACTATTTCATTCATCTATCTTTCTCAATGTTTCCTCATATTTCTTATGTCAGTTCTCACACCTGAGAAGTCCCAAAAACAAAGGAAACTAGCTTTTAGGGGAATAAAATGAAGAGCAAAGAAAAACATGATTGACCCGCCTACTTCTACGGACACGTAGCCTTCTTCAATCATGCCCAAGATTGTGTCAAATCAGTAGAAACTCCTTTATTTCTGATAAGTCCTATCTAAAAGACAAAAACATCATTCTCTTAGCTTGTACTCAATTTATGAATGGGAATGGCTATCTTTCTATTTGCCTTTCCACATCATTGTTATGCTAATTCTCACATCTGAGAAGTCCCAAGAACAAAGGAATCAAGCTTGGAGGGGAATAATGAAAGAGCATACAAAACCGGGGTTAACCCAGCTTCAACTTGTAGTGACATGTAGCCTTTTTGTCCAAAATTGTGCCACATAAATAAGGGAACTCCTTTATTTTTGACAACTCCTATCCAAAGACTAAAATACCACTCTTCGCTTGTTCTCAATTTATGAATGCCTGTATCTTTTAATTGCCTTTTCTTCTATAACCACAAACTCATTCCAACATGTTTATTTTAGAAGCATTCATCTTATGCATAATTACACAAGGCATATCATCTTTCATGGTAATTTTACAAAAATCTCCAACAAGGAAGCTCTTATGATCAATACTATCCCTATAAAACTATTTTATATTATTCATATTTGATTATTTTCTAATTCTATGAACAACTTGATAATGTGGTCTTGCAATTAACTGAATTCAGATCTTGATCGTCAATGGGTTAGGTTACAACTAAAGCAACATCTTAAATCAAGAGCGACTTAAAGAAATTATATACAAGCATCCAAAGGAGATGTAGAAGTCACCTTTCTGAGTGCCAGAAGAATTATCTTCCTCTTGACGCTTACGCAAGTAATCTTGCTCAAATTTGTCCAGAATCTGCCATTCCTGGTATAGTTCCTGCAGTGCAAAAAAGCAATTCTGTTTATCCTCCTTATAGTTTCCAATCTATTTAAATACTGAAGTCCAAAACCATAATACATTGCACGAAGAACATTGAACAAAAAGTGCCTATGATATGTTGCCTCCTAGTACACCATGGTTAACAGTTAAACATGTAATGCAGATCTTGTTCAAGGAAATAAAAGATTAAACACAATGGATAACCTAAAATAAGGAGATTATTTGATGTTGAGGTTATTAATATATAATAGGTTAGAATGATTGGCATTAAGTCTCTTATTTTTTTTTTCAAACTGCTTGTGAACTAGGGAATGGAGCATTTTATTTGTTTGAGTTTTTCAGCAATTAAGAGTTGTATTTTTGGCAAATTCCAAATTTTCTGTAATCAGAATAATTTAAATATGTTTAAATGCGTTTTTCATGTCAGGTTATAGGTAAACCTTTGCAGTTGTTTGGAAGTCAGGTTTTGAAGTTCCCGAGGAAACTCAACTCCTTACAAGAATATGATAGTTTGAACTCTTTGAATATAAAAGAAAAACAATAAACTAAATAGAAATATAAATTTATACATGCTATACTGATACTCGGTGACATGTAATCATAAAACTTACAGCTGTATATTGAACTGAAATCATCAATTGCTCAATCACTAATTCTGCTTCTTCCTTCAATTGTTTCTGAGGTGAAAGTTCTCTGCTGATTCTGGAAAATGAAAAACAAATGCATTCACTCAAAACAAAGCACATCAGCACATCAGTACATCAGCACATTGAAAACAATATTCACTGAACTAATATATAGCATCCATACTTCTCAAAATAACGTTCCAAGCTATGCCACTGACGATCCTTTGAACGGTTTCCAAAACGAATTACTTCTCCCGAAAAAATTTTCAATTCTTCCCTGCAAATATAGAGTTAAACAGATTCTTAACAACAAAATTAAGCATGAGTTCATAGGTTCTTAAGAAGACCATTCTTAAACAAACTAAAAGGATGGACACAAAAAGGAAACAAGGTGAGTTGAAAGAATTTTCATGGGTAGTTGATAGCATTATACCTTTTGTCAGCTGCAACGATCCTTAAGAGTTCATCCATATCTTTAGATACTAAATTTTGAACACCACTGGTGAGCAGCACCACCTCTTTTAAATGTCTTATGTTTCTTCTAGAAAGGGATTGCATAAGATTTGAACCCTTAACAATAGTGTTTGCAATCTCAAAGGCTAATATTGAAAGTTCATTGCCTTTAGTTGCTACTCCAGAAGCAAATCCGGCATTAGGATTTAAACTTGTCATGCTACTCCCTAGAGTATCCAATACCTCCACTGCTTTTCCTAGTCCGACTGATCCAGCTTTGCCTAAACGGGAACTTACCTCTGAAACCTGCAATGTTAAGGGCATGATAATTTATTAGGTTTCTAATGAAATTACCATCAATGCCTACAATATTTAGGATAAATATGAATTGGCTATGGTTCAGTAGAGTTTCTTAAAGGAAAAGCGAAATCAAAGCTGATGTACGAATGGAGTTTATTAAATTGACCATATATCCAAAATATAAAAACCAATATAGTAATTGAAACTCTTGCTTAATCCATCGTCAACAAACGACTGAGCTTTGTGCACAAATACTCATTTCAATTGAACTTTTTAATGGGATTTATCCGCTCATATATATTAATATTGATTTCCATATTTAGTTTTCATTCGACTATGTTCTGTCGGAAATGGAAACATCACCTAAAGAATTAACAACGTAAATATGGCGGCAGCCGAGGTTGAGCTAATTTAAAATGAAGTTAAAAGGAGAAATTTATGAAAGGGAGGAATTTGAATTTTACCTTGGCAACAGCAGCCTGGGTGGACCTAACTGATCTAGATTTCTGGGACATGTCCGTTGTAAAACGAGGAATCCCATCGTAGAAATCATCAGCAGATTCTTCGATTCTCTTCTCAGCGATTTCACTCGCTTGGGGTGGATTCATCAAGACGTTTACAGGAATATCCTTGCTCTGATAATGGTTGAGATTACCACCGCCATAGCCATTCCCAACCCCATCATCTTTGACGCCGCTCCTCGAGCAAATCCCGCCCATTGTTCAGCTCCTCCTGATTAATATTATTATTCCACCCCAACAATAAAACTATACCCAGAAAAGAAGAATTAAAAAGAAATGAGAGAGAGAGAAGAAGAAGAAGAAGAAGGAGTTATCTTACGGGCATATACCCAACCAAAGAAGAACCTATGAGAAAGAGTATAACTTTTCAAAGAAGGAAGTGAAAGTCCACCCGATGCCATCCCGCGTCGAGTAACTTATGTATTTTATACTTTAAAATAATAGGGGAAAGAAGATTGTAATGTCTCTTTTCTCCACTGTTTGTACATCATAACATCAACGCAAAGCAAGCAGGTGGCAGGTTGGACAAGGCAGGACGTAAATTGGGCGAATTGGTCAAAATGCCAAACTCTCTCGCTTTTCTTCTCCAAACATTTTCTACGTTGACTCACGGTCACCGTTTTGTTACAAGTAGATGGCCTTTCCATTAGATTCCAGTGGGATTAGTTGAATAGTTGGTTTATTTTAATGGGTAAAATACACATTTAGCACCTAAACTATTATTTTTATTCTGTTTTAATACTTAAACTTTAATATTTTTAAAAACTATAGGGTGTTTGGCAAACAGCTGATAGTTGGTAGCTGGGATTAGTTTGACCAATTGATTTGATTAATTGGTTTGACCAACTAATTTAATTAATTGTTTATATAGAAGTGTTTGGTAAAATTTAACTGATAGTTGATATGGGTAAAATGACAAATAAGAGTATGATACATTTAGTTGTTAAGTATATATATGTTTTATAATATTTTAGTCTTTACTGGGTGAAATTATTCGGATAAAATGCTTCTGACAATGAATTAAAAATTCCTTAAGAAAATTAGTGAATATTTTTGAATTTTTTGAATATATTTTTTTAAATTTAATATTTATAAATATTAACATTGTGAAATTGATACATGCTATTAACTGTATATAAAATATTGACACTACATTTATTTACTTTAATGTTTTGTTATATTTTCTTAATTAAGATATATTTGAGAATCTACAACTAAAAAATATAATAATAAAATAAAATTTCAGCTTAAATATATTATGATGAAGGTTATTTTATTATATTAGGTTTTATGGTAAAGAGATAATTATGAGGAAAAAATAAGATCAAATATTTCATTTAACATCTTATTTTGCAATCAGTTCTTCCAAATCCAAACTGTTGGATTTTCAACTTATTTTGCACAATAAACTCTTTCAAAAAAGTGTTTACCAAACGCTAAAAATGGAAGGTTTGACTATCAATCAGTTATTTATGCTCAAATAAGCTAAAAGCTTTTAAAAAAAAATGGTTGTCAAACATCCCTATACCTAACATTTTGTTTAGATTTCATTTTGATACATTGCCGTTAAAAATTTAACATTGATGTTGACGTTTTACTATAAGATAATACCAATCATCATTGAAAATGTAAAACATATCACATTAGTAGTTTTATTAATATTTTAATAGTGGGTACCAAATTGAAATTTAAACTAAATATTAAGTGTAGTTTTGAAAAAAATAAAGTTTTGATATAAAAATTATACAAATTAAAGTTTAGAGTTTATCATATTTTAATGTTTTTTTGGGATAAATTATGCATTTAGTCACTCAACTATCACTTTGATTTTATTTTAGTCACCTAACTATTTTTTTACAAAATCATCACTATTATATGTTTATGTTTCATTTTAGTCATTCACTGTGGCATGACATTTTCATTTTGATCACCATTTTTTGAATTTTCTCAATCAGGTCACCCGACTATTTAAATGTATTCAATTAAACCACAACGGTTAACGTTTTAAAGAAAATGTTGTTGTGACAGTTAATAAAATTAGTATAATTACACATTTGATCCTCAATATTTATACATTATATCACTTTAATCATAATTTTAATTCAATTTAATAAATTTAATATCCAAATAAATGGTCACACGTGCTACTACAGGGATCGAACCAATGTCTTGGAGCATCACAAGACGAACAAAAATCCTTTGTCCCCTTCGTGTGTCTCTCCTGATGCCCTTCCAATAATTTTTTACACGTGCACTTTTTATTTTATGACAATTTATGTAATCTTCCAAAATAAATATTTCCTATTTTTCTTCATCTTCAACATTTAACCCATTATAATATTTGCCTTTTTTGCAACAAAACCCATAAGAACGGTCTTCTATGAATATGAAACAATCATATACAAACAAGGAAATATAAGCAGACCTCACACAATAATATTAACATCTTGAAAATGGATTCAAACTCCTGCTCAAGCCATTGACATTAAAGAATATTCCTATCAAGTCCTGCAGGTTAGGTAAAAGAGATCTTCTCATGTTTCCCCCTTTCACATCTCGATTATAATCATAATGTTGATCGTCTTCTTTCTTAACAACAATCGTTACGAGTTTTGTCTCTTTTGCTCGATCTTAAGAAAACAAATGCGTCTCACCATAAAAGAAGTCCTAAAGCTTTAATCTCTTTGATGATGTCCCACTTGAATCGCCCTCATCGAATCTTCTGGGTTCAAACTCTGTTGTTGCTGCCTTTGGTGTCCAGAAACAGTAAGTCCCTAGCATTACACTGTCGATGCCATCAGCTCCCGAGGATGAACATGAAGTCGGTCTGTTTTCTTCGCTTATGAGTTCTCTCAAGGGCAAACGATTGGATTGTGGTTTCAAATTGAATACATTAACATTAGGAGTTTGATCACTTTTGTTGAGAAAGCTAGTTTCGAAAATTGGATAAGTTGGTTTGATCACTGTTTTTGGAAGATTATATAAATTTTGCTATAAAACAAAAAATTACACGTGGAAAAAAATTATTGGACAGACACGAAGGGAGACACAAAAAAGGGACAAAGATTATATATTTAATGTTCTCTAAAAAAATCAAGGTTTGATTTATCTTATTGTTTTCATTATAATACAAGCTAAATATAATATGCTGTAAAATAAGAATTGAAATTAAGCGTGGGTCCAGTGGTAAGAGCATGCTCAAATAACTAAGAAGACCTAAGTTTAATTCCCTCTGGTGGCTTATTTTCCTTTCAATTTGTTTTCATTACATTAGACGATCTTTAGCGGCAAACAAAATATATAAAAATGTTGTAAAGTAATACCAAGTGAGGGGCTTAGCCTGGTAGTTTAACATTTTTAGGAGAGCTTTATGGCATTTATTCGAATCCCTTCAACTACAAATTATATTCGTTGATGGCATTATTTGTAGTGATACGGTTCTCTCCGTGTCCTCTTGGTATTGTTAAGTGCAAAACCTTAAAAGGTGACATTTTTGTTGATGCCACGTGTAGAGATTTAAATTATAATTGCAATTACGATTTTTCTAGCTAAAGCCTGTTTGATTTCTTTGTAAAGGTTAACACTTGCAAATTTCAAGTGAAGATGAATTTCAAATTATATTCGTTGATGGCATTACTTGTAGTGATACGGTTCTCTCTGTGTCCTCCTGGTGTTGTTAAGTGCAAAACCTTAAAGATGACATTTTTGTTGATGCAACGTGTAGGGATTTAAATTATATTTGCAATCACGATTTTGGTAGAATTATTTGTATTGTAATTATGATAAGTGTTATTACGATCATTGTGTGTATATTAGTTATACAATAATAATTTTAGATGATACATTATTTAAATCATAATCTGTAGACGTCTCATTTATATATATATATATATATATATATATATATATATATATATATATATATATATATATATATATATTGTAGTTTAAAAATATTTTTAAAACTTATATATATATATAGTTTTGAAAACATGTTTAAAAATATTTATATATTATATAGTTTTTAAATATTTTGAAAAAAATATATATATAGTTTTTAAATTTTTTTGAAAATATATATATTATATAGTTTTTAAAGTATTTTGAAAATAAATATAATATAGTTTTTAAATATTTTTGAAAGTATATATATTATATAGTTTTTAAAGTATTTTGAAAATAAATATAATATATAATTTTTAAAACATTTTTTAAAAATATATATTATATATTTTTAAACATTTTGAAAATATATATAATTTTTAAAAAGTATTTTGAAGAACATATATATATATATTATATAGTTTTGAAATCATTTCAAAAACTTATAATATATAGTTTTAAAAACATTTTGAAAACTATATAATTTTGAAATTTTTTTAAAAACATATAATATATAATTTTAAATATTTTTAAAAATATATATTAGATATTATTATTATTATCTTTTTATCTTTAATTAATTTTATTTTTCATTTTATTTTCAGGTCCGTTTTGGGTCCAATAAGTCACAGTCCAACTCTGGTCTAAACACTGGGCCTGAACCAGCCCAACAGCAAGATAAGGTTTCATCTAAGTCCAACGCCTCACAGTTCATAGCCGTTGGATCAAGATAGGAGATCAACGGTCAAGGTTGCACTCAACCTTGTTTATATTTTTTATTGGTATTGTCATTTTCATTATTTTATATATTTTTTATTTTTATTTTGATATTTTCTCCTTTTATTTTGTATGTTTTTCAACAATTTTCCCTTTTAAAATTTAATATCCTTTTCATTTTTTTTACTTAATTAATTTTACTCGATATTTTTTATATTTACCATCTAACATTTTTGATTTTCCAGTAGTAACTCCAACCGATCAAAGGTAAGTAACTCGAATCAAATATTTTAAATTTTAATTTTCTAATTTTCGCTAAAAGGATAACCGAAAAATTAATTGGTACCGAAAGAGCGGTTCAATGGTGCTAATCCTTCATTGACCGTAACCGACTCCCGAACCCAACACGTTTTTGGTACAACGCAGATCTGGTAAGATGGTGTCCGACCCACCTAAATTCGTTTTAAAATGGTCGGTGGCGACTCTAATCCAATCAATTCACGTCGAAGCCCAATTCCGAGACCCAACCGAAAGACGGTTCCGACAATTACGTATAATTTTTCTGCTTAAAGCATGTTTGATTTCTTTGTAGAGGTTAACACTTGCAAATTTCAGGTGAAGATGAACTTCAGACGAAGCTGCATTCTAGAAGGAAGTCCAACTCTTAATTGTTGTTGTCAGTGACGGAGTCACATTTTAGTGAAATCCGAGTTTTTTTTGATTAATTACTTATTTTATTAATGGTGCTCACATTAAAATTTGACTTTTATTGATTAGTTACTTATTTTACGGACGGTGTCTGCCTTAAAATTTTATTTATATTTATCCCATTTAAAAATTTTATATTGTTAATATACGTATGACCACCCTAAAAAATATTTCTAAATCATCCACCATGTGTTTCATAGATTCTTCTACGATTTATTGGGTTCAGCACATGATCATCAGAAAGAATCCTTGTTTAGCCCTTTATGTAGAATCCTTGTTACATACATCAACCGAGAGGTACTTGTCCTTCGTGATTTGGATCAATTATCAAATTAAACTTGTGGCAGTCATATGCATTCTTACAATAGTTTACATTTGCAATTTTCTATAAATCTATAATTTTTATTAATTCTTATGTCCACACAGTTATAAAATTCATTGTATTAATGTGACAAATTCCTAATTCACCGTAATAAACTTCATAAATTCCTAAATAATTTTCTATTAAATTTACCAAATTTATCGAAATATATATCTTTAAATAATTTTAATGGAACATCATTCTACCAAATGTATCAAATTATATCATATTTATTATATTAACCAAATAATCTATATTTATTTTTAACAGTTATTCAATAAATAATGGAACATCATAGATTTTTGCCCTTTCCAAACCAGAATTTTAAAATCAACCACTAGCGGGGGTACGCACTACAAAGCCAATAAAAAATTACGTAATTGTTTATCTTTTTAAAGGGAAAAAAAATTCGAAGCGACGGTTAAAATGTAGAGCATAAGGGAATCGCAAAGCGGGGAAGCATTAATAGTGAAACCGACAGCGGTTAAAACAATTGACAGTTTACGAGGCCGCAATGTGATATCCTCTATCTGTAAGTTCCATTCACTTCCTCACCTTAATTACTGCTATCGCTTTTCTTCAATTCAAACAGTAGGGGAAAAACCTCTGTAAGGTGTATTTTTTAGGTAAATTTCTTCCTCCTTTTTTCCATCATCAATTTCCAGCCTAGAGCTTATTGTCGCAGGATTATCTCTTTGTCGCAGGTTAATCTATAATGTTAATGAACGAAGTTTCTATCAAATTGCTGTTAATTTTAATGAGTTTGGGGATTCGATACTAACTTTTTAACCTTTTCTGTTTATGTAGATTCGGATTGAAATCCAGTTGTGGTTAGTTTTCAGGAGAAAAAGCCTATTCGTTTTGGTATTAAGGATTCCGGAAGCATGACATCAAGCACGGAGGGTGAGTTATCTAGCCCTAGCTTTAGATGCGATTCTTCTCTATGGTAAATTATTTTTGGTCTCTGACGTTTTTTAATGATTTCTTTTCATAGATTTATGATAAATTTGGTAAAATTTAGCATTCTCTTTAGTAAAATTGTTGGGAAACTTTATGAACACTTTGAAGATGACTTTAGGCTTGTGAATGAGGAATCTTCTTTCGTAAAGGTTTATTACTTTAGGAACATCCACCAAACAAATCATTCCATTTTATGCTAGTGATATGCTAAAGTTAATATCTATGAATACCTAAACTTAGCTTTTGATTTACTTGAAATAAGATTTCACACTCACCCTTTTAGGAGGTGCACAATTTAACTTCAATCTTATGAGGATTATTGATAATTATACATTTTAGTTATTTTTCTAATGCTTTAAATTTTCACCACAGCATTGCTCCTTGAAGCCAAGAACCTTGAGATGCAAGGCTTAGAGAAGCATAAAATTGTTCTGGCTTCTGCTTCTAGTCTCGATGAAATGCTTAATGAGGTTTACAACACTCGCTCACCAAAACCAATTGATTACGATAATAGAAGAGATTTGATTCGCATCTTCAATGTCATGGCCAAGGAGATTTATGGTAACCTTTATTCCCAGGGAACATTCTGAAGCCTCAATTTAAAAGAAATTTAAAGGACAAAGTTGTTTAAACTGTCACTGAAGTTCATACTTTCAGAAATATTTTTTTCTTTTTCCCTGGATAGAAATCTCCTTTTAGTTTTGGTGGTGCATTTTAGTTATTTGCCCATTTTATATCAATTATGATCTTTTACTTTTACTTTAAGCAATTTCAGGGGAAAAAAATCAGAAAACACATCTTAAAGGATCGCTTGAATGGAGCATATATAAATTATTGTACATTACATACATGTGCCAGACATTATCTTTTTTTGTAGTTTTTCAAATGCCTATATAGATTATTGTATATTATATGCATCCACTAAACTTATCCTTTGTGTAGTTCTTTAAATTATCATATGACCTGCTAAGGAATTTTTGTGCTTTTTTAAATTGATAAACAATTTAGTAATGGGTCAATCTAATGTGGCTGTCCAAGATTATTTTTGCCATGCTTTGACAGTTCTAAGGCCATTCAGCATTGTAGAACATATTAAATAGTTTTTGGTTTCTTTCATCCCTAATTCTACTTCCTTTTCTGTTATTTTATATCTTGATGATAGTATACCTTTTTCTTTCAGGCAAGTGTAATGGTTTTCCTATTGTGGAGGTATTTGGTTCTTTTGTAATGGGCATGTTCAATGCTGAAAGTGATTTAGACTTATCTATCAATTTTACAAATAATGGGGCTAAGATTTCTAGAGTGAAGAAAATTAATGCCCTTCGCAAGCTGGCAAGAAAGTTACATTCCATTAGAAGTAATTTCCCAACACTCATTAGCACTTTAATTCTTTACCGCTGACTAATAATTTCAAACTTTAGTCATATTTTATGTTTTCTCTACTGCAAAAATGTTAGTATTATTATGTATAACATGCTGCTAAATAAAATAAAGTCAACCTTATACTGACTAGGTTACTAAACTTCTGAGAATCAGGCACTAAATAGAAACTTAATTTACTTGTGTGCTTATTTAGGTAATTGATTGCTTAGGTTCTTGCTAAATAATTTCATAGATAACTTTTAACCACAAAATAAAATAAATCTGTTCATAAAGTTATTCAACTTGAAAAGAAACAATAAGCTAGCATGTTCTGCTTCGAGGATCATTTTTAGGAATATTTAAAATAGACCTTTTCATTCTATTAAATTGAGTAAATAATCTGGTTAAAAAACAAGAATGTTGTAAGTAGGGATTATAGATACAGGTGTAATTTTTAACATTGAACAGAAACAAAATGTAGTCACAGTGTTCAAATTGGAATAGTAAATGATTAAGACCTTACAGTAATTGAAGAGCACATGAGTAATTAAGAAAAATGTAAATTTCTTTTTGTAGACAAAAAATAGCCATAAACGAATGAGATTGTATACATCAAGGTTCACCAACTTCACATCTTTTTGTTCTTATAATGGATATGAATAATGTGTATCCAGCATCTGGACATGTATTTTAAGTTTTTTTTAGAACTACTACATCTGAAACAGTTTTTGCACCTAAGGTGCTAAACGTCTAGAATATTCGAAAGTATTACTGTTTGAGATGCTTGTGTTGCTGTAATATGTTGCATCTCTTTGGAGCTTGTGTATTCTAAAGTTCAGATTATCATTTATTTGCATATGAGAGATTGAAAACTATAGTGTTACTGCTAGAAAGGAAGAAGAAAATTCTTTATTTTTACTTTGTACCGTTTTCATTGTATCATTCACATTGATGAAAGGCTTATTTCCTTATTAATATTCAAAATGGCTATTTCTTTATTAAGGCATTCAAATGCCAGTAACTGACTTCCCTTTTTATCGTTGATGCTTTACGCTTCCTTGGATGAAAGAAAAATGAGACTTCATATTATTGGATATGACTACTGTTGGTTTAGGGAATTAAAGATGATCATGAAAGAGTTTTACTGACAAGTTTGCTTTATTTGTTTTAGGAGGAGGTCATGTTAGTGACATTCAAAAAATTCTCTCTGCTAGGGTGCCGATTGTTAAAGTCATTGATCGTGGAACTAGGATTGAATGCGATGTGTCAGTTGAGAATAGGGATGGTATTTTAAAATCCCTTATTATTCGTGCAATTTCTACAATCGATGAAAGGTTTCTAAAGCTTAGTTTCTTGGTGAGTGAAGATAGTTCAAACTTATCTCCCCCTTTACAATTTTCTGCTTCATTTGTGACTCACTTTTCGGGTATATATTGACTTCGTTAATTTTTTTCTGCACTATCAATTTATTTCAGTTTTTTGCTTCCTTAAGATTTTCTATTACCAAAGTTGCTGCATTATTTTCTGTGACTTGAAGAATGCGAATGTCCTTAAGTTGGGAAGTTAATTTTTTGCAACCCAAATTTCTCTCCAAATCTTTTAGGACCTGCTATCATTCCCCTTAGAACATCTGCTACCTGGTACTTTGTTGGCACATAGTTAAGGGAAACTTGGACTCTGCTCTTTGATGAATATTTATCTATTTCCATGTGTTTGATTTGATTGTGTTGGAATGGATTATGGGATATTGATATGGCAGCCTTATTATCAAAATATAGCTACATGGGCTCTTGAATAATAAAAAAAAAAAAACCAGATCCTTCAACATAATATTCAGTGCTAATAGTTCAGAAATTCTAATTGCTATAGTTGGGCTCTTATTCAACACTTGGTCTAGCTACCACTTTAATACTTTTCATGATTCATGAATTCCGTGATTCTTAAAGAACTGGCTTCTTTTGTGATTCATTATTTTCACCTCCGTTTCCCCATTTTGTTAATTTGACATCTGCTTTCCCACCATTTTTATCAAACATTTTCCCACCTTAACTGTTAAATTTAATTTCTCTAGCGCCGCATAATATAGGAATGTTTGCACCCATTACACATAAATGGAAAATGTATGACATGTTCTTTTTCCATGTGCAGGTAAAAGCTTGGGCCAAGGCCCATGATATTAACAGTTCCAAGGATCAAACTCTGAACTCTTTATCATTAATATTATTAGTTGCTTTCCATTTGCAGGTATTCATACTTTTCAGATATGCTATCATCACAGAATGGCATCTTGATTTTGACTGGTGTTAATTTTCATTTTTGGATGTTTATGTTTGAGAGAAAAGTGTTACATATAATATTGCCTCCGTATCGACTCAAAAAAACTGTGAAAGTTAATAGCTGAGTAATGCTCTTGTTTGAAAATTTTAATTGGAACTTTCGGAATAATCTGTTGGGATTGGCCTTTTCTTTATTGCACCTCTATGTTCATTTTATAGATTAATGAGTTTCACAGCAATATAGGTTCGAAAGCCTAATTGGTTTCTATGCATGTGATTGAGGCTCCTTCCTTGGTGTAAGATTTATCATGAGTTGCTAGCTAATGCCAAAACTAAGAATTGACTGATGTCAACATCAGATATCAGATTCCTCCTTTTAGGATCGGCAGCCATCCCTACCTACTAGAGGTGGGATTTTCTTTGTCCCTTATCTATATGGTCCCTAATGCTTCTAGCATCTGAAGGGGTGTCTCAAACATCATGATAAAGAATTTGTTACAAGTCAAAACCTGAACTAGTAAGTTCCTTTGGTGTTTGAATGTGTTCTATCTCAAGTAAAACTTGGAAATGTGAACAAAGATGTCATTATGTTGGTCTACGTAAAAATGCAAAAATGGTATATTGTGCAGTATATTTTACAAATAAGTCTTTTCTCTTGATGATGGAGTCAAGGTGGTATAGATTGCACCTGCCTGTATTTTGTTCAATTTTCTTATCCATTTTTGTTCTTGCAGACTCGGGATCCTCCCATATTACCTACATTTTCTGCTTTATTTAAAGGTGATTACCCTGTAGATTATAGATTAAGAATTATGTTTATCTTATATTATCTGACTTTCTCATTGCTTTGTCATTTAACTGACCTTGACATTGTTTCAGATGGATATGATCCTGAAGCTGTAGTGAAGATGGTCCAAAATTACTTGAATTATGGCATAAGGAATAAAGAATCCTTAGCGGAGCTTTTCGTTACTCTATTGGTTAAGGTAATGTCTATTCTAGTTATAAGGTTTGTGTGGCAAGAAGGGAAGGCAAAGCCTCTATGTCGGCCTCTTATATATTAAAATAGCACTTGTCATTAGATGGCACAAGAAATTTCCATTTCTCGTTAATACATTTACCATTTGTTACCTTGCTGCAGCTTGCTTCTGTTGAACAACTTTGGCAGAAAGGGCTTTGTGTTAGCTTGCGTGAAGGATTTTGGATATCTAAAGCTTGGGATTCTGAGTTTTGCACTATTCATGTCAGTTTTTTCTTTGTTTTATGGACATGGTGTATTTAAGTTGCTGAAATATATAACTATTTTTATGGCAGATCGAGGATTTCACAGATCAGTCTGAAAATGTTGCAAGGGCTGTTGGAACACAAGGTTTTGAAAAAATACATAGCTCCATCCATCGTTCGCTTCATTATCTTGGGGCTTTTTCCGAAGGTCAGAAGTTGGGAACTAAGCTAAAAGAACTTTTGTTTGGTAGAGATACCACCTCTAGTGTAGGGGATAGTGTTGCTATAAATCTGGATAAAAGTAAAACCAAGCCATCTGTCGCCAGTAACTCTATCCAATTAACAAAAGACCTAGAAGAAGAAACCCAGTCCAGTGCGGGGAATAGTGTTGCTATAAATCTGGATAAAACTACAACCAAGCTCTCTGTCCCCGATAACTCTATCCAATTAACAGAAGACCTAAAAGGAGCAGAAACCCAGTCCAGTGTAGGGAATAATGTTGCTATAAATCTGGATAAAAGTACAACCAAGCTCTCTGTCCCCAATAACTCTATCCAATTAACAGACGACCTAAAAGGAGCAAAAACCCTGTCCAGTGTAGGGAATAGAGTTGCTATAAATCTGGATAAAAGTACAACCAAGCTCTCTGTCCCCAATAGCTCCAACCAAATAAAGATCCAATTAACAGAAGACCTAAACGGCGCAGAAAATCGAAGTAAAAAACAGTTTGTTGTTCAGCATGGCTCCCATCAAACAAAGAGGAGGCATTTTACTGGCCTGGATGAATCCAAGGGTGTTAAACGATGGAAAGGGGCACATCTTGGGGGCAAGCGGGCAGGAGTACGGTACAGAGAAGTAATTGAGGAACACCTTAAACCTCTACCAAGCATTAGATGGAAAGGGAAAGATCCGGAGGGTAAAAGGAGGGAATGGCATAATTTTGGTGAAAATAGGGGTCATTTATCCACTCATTTTGTACACCCTAAACCTCTACCACGCATTCAATGGGAAGGGAAAGATCCGGAGAATAGCAGGAGGGACTGGAAAATTTTTGGTGAAAATAGGGATCATTTATCCACTCATTTTTTTCCACAACCACAAGCGTCTTATAGTATCCCTCATCCTCATAGTTTAGTTAGCTCAACATCCCGTGGTCCAGTTATGCGTCCTATTTCTGTTCCAAATTTATCAAGTTTTCAAGGGTTATGCAATCCTGTCCCGCCGCCGCCACCACCACCACCATCAGGACGCCTTTTTTCATTATTGAATTCTCTAGGTGTTGATATATCACATATTCAGAGCACTCCTGCTCCAATACCACCTAGTGGACCAACTCATGGTCAACATGCTCAACAGCAGCCACACTCAATGCAAAGGATACTGAGGAGATAGGTTCTTTCCGTCACACTAGAAAGCCAGTAAGTCTTGATCATTGGCTTACAGCTAACACTACAAGTCTTTTATTTCCTCGGTGAGTATAGGTTTTTATTGGTTTTCGTACAAATTAGGTTTGATCTTGCCACCGTCTCCCCAACACCTCGAACATTCTCCCGTGCTTGCCTTTGGTGTACTACATTTTCCTTTTATATTGAAAGATTTGTTGGCTGAAATGATGGTTGTGAGAGTTGAAATTTATCATGTGATGTGGACTAGGTTTATTGTTCTGTTTATGATATTTATGTGCATGGTCGGTTGTGAAATACATGATGGTATCATGAACAATTTTAACAGCGGATGACTTGAACCTATATTCTTTTTCAGCATCAGACTAAGACCCTTATCTCTAGAACCCTTATCACTAGAACAATGGTTGAAAGAACTGGATCAGAGGTCAATGGTGTGATCTTTCCCTATCCAACCAATTATACCCAATTGGTTTATTTGTCAAGTAAGTTCAAGTAAATAATTAATAATTAATAAAAACATGTATTTTTCTTAGTGGTGTAATTTTTGGTGAAATTCGAAGATATTACGAGTTCAATATTTAAATTAGAAAAATATGTATATTTTTCCTTCTGGTTTGCACCAGTTTATATATAATGTCAGACAAGACAATCCTCTGGTATGTGGTCGAAGTGAATCATTCTGGTTAAACTATGCAAACCGTCTGACTTTCATGTATTGTTGCAAAGGAAATTGGTAGCCTGAATAGGTTTTATTATTATTATTATTTGTGTGATGGTTTCGAATGATACTAAAAGGGTACCATGGAGAAAGACTTTGATTGTAGGATTTCTTACATTTCATGGAGAAGGTAATCGTTGTGCTCACTAGATGGCCCGGTAGGCTTCGGAGGTAATGATTTGAAAGTTGTTGAAGTGATATCATTTCTGTAGAATCATAGAGAATGATCTTTTAAGAATAGCTAGGCCAAGTGCCTTATATTGCTTAATCAGAGAATTAATAACACGTACAAAGGAAAAACGAAATATACAATCGTATGTCCAAACAAAGAATATCAGCTAGGAACACCTCACTATCTCACAACAAATCTTTGGCAGAGTAAATAGGGTGATATAAACCTGTATTGCTACTATCTGGAGGTGCAACATGATTCACCTAGTTACTAGTCTAACTTGAAGAAGAAGGGCATGCACTGGGCTTGATTAATCTTCTTTCGGGCAACAGTTTTTGGTTGCCTCTTTCTTTTTCTTAGGATTTAAATGATTCAAGGGCAGTTACGGTTCCAACCTGGACCACCATAGTAAAAGTAGGTGCCCCAATTACCACCTTGTCCGGTTTCTACATCATAGCAGCTGGATTGCTCGGTAAAGGTGGTAATGCCTTAGGAACCCTGAGATTGTTGGATCCATCAACAATTTGAATATTATTGAAGTAACCAGCTTTGCCGAAACCTTCATTGGGGAAATGGCCATTCCCCATTTGTGTGGATGTCTGCTGTTCATCTGGTTCCGAGTTCATAACCTCTCCTCCCCCTCAATCATGGATGCACTGTCTGATAGGTAGGAAAATAGGAAGGCCGGCCAATAACCCAGCACATAATTGTTACCGAATTGCAGCCACCAGTTCCCGTCTTTCGGATCCTGCCACATTTTCAGCCATTTGCGCACTGCTTTAAAATCATTTGAAGATAAAAACACTTGAACACTTCATACACTCATGGATATACATATTTTATGTTCATCATGCTTTATTAACAGATCACAGACGATGAGTATTTATCTCAATCGTATTTTAATGATGCTTTCTGATGGATTGTTTTATGAGTAGCTTCTTAATCCTTACCTTCCACACAAGTAAGCTTACATCATATTGGAACTATGATAACCAGAAATAGGGTAGATGTTTGCACCCATTGCTATTTCATTGTTGATCTGAATGAAGCCTGAGCAAAGTAGATTATAGCAACCAGTGGCTTGATATGCGTCACTCTGTTGTTTAGTAATAAAGAAAACAGAGTTAAACAACAGTTGAATAGAACTGCATCATAGTAGTGAATGGTAACATGGAGTTTAGTCTTACAGTCCAGTAAGTGAAGAGTCTAGTGTGGTTATCTCCATACAAATCTGGACTAACCTATTATTAATTTGTACACAAAGACAGGCCAATGAGTTAATATCGAGTCAAAAGAAAATAATTTGTAGTTTGTTAGGTAAGAAAGCAGTACGTGCCAGCCTGCTTCAATGCTATTGAGATCTTCACCAAATGATCCTCCCAATAACCAGATTTGGGACAAGCTGAATTCATTAGGCTGCTGTATTTTGGGTTCCCAAACGTTAATGGTTGCCTTAGCTCCATAGTACTTGTCCCCATCCACGTAAGCTATTGCATGCTACAAGGCAGCAATCACCCATGAAAAAGGAACATTTGTACAACGTATATCAATTTCATGTTCATGATGATTATAATTATATGCAATAATCTATTACTATAGGTCTTTACGGGAAATTCAATTGTTTAAAGTCCTGAATTTTTCCTTGAGAAAGTATACTACCTGATGGCCACTCTGACTGAAGAGGTCAGGATCTGCAGACCTTGGTTGAGGGATGGTTTTGTGCCTCTTTTTCCCAAACGCCTTGACAGAGCTTGCTCTTAACAAATCTTCTTTAGTTCTTCTCATGGGAATAGTTCCTTCTGGACACCTTCCATACAAGTGCCACATCTGGGTAATTTTCCTCGACGATCCTGGTTTCGTATTCGAAGAAACCTTGCTCTCGGCAAAAGCACGTTCCGGGTGAAAGTTTGGGGTCATCTGGAAATTTGAAATAGAAGACGACCTTTAGAAGACAATGGATTGAAGAAGTAACATCGTCAAAACAATGGCAGTTAAATAAGAGGAATAAACCTGGATTTTTTGGTTTTTGAATAATGGATGACCGAAAGCAGGTTGGTGGGCAAGTTTGACACAGTCAATTATATCTCCATCTGGACTCTGCTCAATGCATACGCACACATGCAGTGGATTAACAAAGGAAAATTATCTAAGATAACAGAAGTTACGTCCGAATTAACAATTTATTAGCGGCTAACTACTTTTAAGTAACCAACACAAGAAACTGGACAGAATTCAATTAGATATCGAAAGGGAGCTTCTGAGTTGTTCATAAAATCAAATTCCGACCTTGATAGATTTAGCAGCAGGCTTATTCAAGAGCTTCAACCGGGCTTGAACCTCAAGATTCTGAGTAGATAAGTTGCCTCTGCTTCTGCTGGCAGTTGAGGGTGCTGCCATCTCTGTGAAGAAGAAAACCAACAACATGACCAAGAACCTCAACAACTTCCTTCTGCTCTGCACCTCCATAGCTAATAACACCCAAAGATAAAAGGAAAAAAGAAATGAAAAAGAACGGCTGAAGGTAGTTGCCCTAGAGGTGAAGGCAAGGAGGAGGAGAAAGCGAAATAGAGGTATTGAGATAGAGAAGACGTTGACATTGATATTCTGCAGAAACCCTCCACCAACTTTTCACTATTAGACCTTACTCTATAATATCTCTATCTCTACTATAAATATGAAACAATAATTCATCTCCAGCGTTATCTCTACATTACTACCAACTCTACTTTATTCACAATATTTAACTATTATAATATTAATTTTGAAAATATAAAATAAAACATATACATTTCTAAAAAATATCAAAATAAAAAGCATAAATAAAACATTCATAAATAACATTTCGAAAATACAAATAAATAAGAAAGTTACAATTAATAATAATAATGCAAAAAACATAAGTTACATAATTATTTATTTTAATTCTTCGAATTAGAATATTCATTCTACAAATATCAATTAATGATATATTTTGTAAAATAAAATTACTTTGTTTCTTCATCTAATTTCAATGTATTTTTATTTATCTTACAATTTAATCATAAAACAAAAACAAAAAATCATTAAAAAAAAGATTTTTGTAGTGTTGCTACAGTAGCACACTACATATAGCGTGCAGTTTCATTTTTCTCCAAAGAGGAGTTGAGTTTGGCGCAGGGCTAGAGCACTCCAAAGTGGAGATATTTCCACATTATTGCGTTGTTGGAGATACTCTTAGTATAACGCGCAAGATTCTTTGAAAAAACAAAAAGGCCCCTTTGCTATTCTTTCTCCAGAAGAAGCTAAGCCAACTGTCGACACCTTTCTAACTTTTCCATCAACCACTAGTCTTTGCTAAAACAAAAAATGTGTTGAAATGGAGCAGAAGATGGAGATAATAAAATGAGCAGGAAGATGCTATTATTTTTTTATCAGGGTGAACTACATATTTAGTCATCCACTTGTTCCTTAGATTCTACTATGGTCACACATCATCAATGATGATGTGGCATTATCTTATGGTGGCATATTAATATCGTCGTTCAATTTTTTAATGATGGGTGACCAAAATGAAATCAAAATATAACATTAGATAAAATTTTGAAAAAAAATAGTTGATTATCAAAATAGAATTACGAGAATAGGTGAGTGATTAAATACATAGTTTATCCTTTTTATTGTTATTATTATTATTATTTTAGAAATATGTTGATTGTTGGAACTTGGAAAGAAAGGATGAGTTACATATGATCCATTTAGATTTATATTTTTTGTTGGTCTCCACTCGCACTAGGAATAGTTTTGAAGTGAGGTGGTGCGTAAGGTTTGGCTTGATTTGCACTGATTTGAGAAACCAGACTGACTTTTTTTGTAGCATAGGGACACCATTTTTTGTCCACTAATTCACGTGAATCAACATATTCCCCTTCACTGTTTTTTTTTAAAATCAACAACCCTACTATTTTTCCAAAATAACCATAGTAATAATGAGAAAAAATATTATATAAGTTTAACCCTTTTTGAGTATTATAAAATATCATCTTGGTTTGCTTCTATGGAGAATAAGTTACGAACATGACATAAATTAGATTAAAATTTTCAAATAATCTAAAAATTTTAGTTTTAACATCTTAATATTTTAATTTTTTTAATAATGTGCATTTTGAAATTCATTGTCAAAGGTAATTAATGTTTATATATTTCATGATTAATTTTAAGTAAAAAATTGATTTTTATTAGTAGAAAAGGAACCACCTTGTCCGAAAGTGGTCCGTGAGCGCACTTCAATTATAAATCAAGATAGTGGAGTGGAGCCATTGTGGTTGTGCCACTAACTTCCCACCTTTTCTGCTGCTGCTGCTTCATTTCTTGTTCGGATTCAACCTCATAGCCATACCCAACATTACACATTTACCATTTTTCTTTATACATTTTTAGACATTATACATTTTTAGACATTATACATTTTTAGACATAAACACTCGAGGTTTCTTGTCTACTTTTGAATATGGACCGAAACCGACACATGCTATTATATAATGCGAAGTTGTCATATGAATCAAAATCAAATTTTATGTTAAAAGAGATTGAAATTAATTATTATTTTTAAAATATATTGAGAGTTTTTTTTTTAAAAGAGATTGAAGCGTCTAAGGTCGCAATGTGACGGGCCGTGACATTTGTGTCCGGGACATTGGCGCAAGTGTATGCTAAAGAGATTATATGCAGAGTGTGGGCTTGTCAAAGCCACCAGACTTGGTCCATCACTTGGAGAATGCTGTGAAGCCCGTTCACATTGGTCGTACAGAAAATGAAAGTGACATCATATCTGAAGATGATCACAGGAGCTCGGTAAATATGTCAAGAGACAACAAATCAGGAATATATTGTGGGAGAATCTTACCATATCTAATGTGAACACCTATCCAAGGAAAGAATCCAACTAATGGATGTAATTATATAGGATTGAGTTGGGTTTCCTTAGTAAAGAGAAGATCTTGTAGATACAATCCATTGATTTAGGGGATCTTGTATTAAATAGGTGGATCTTGTATTAAATAGGGGGATCTTAGCCGTTGATGTAAATCAATATAGGTCATTGATTGAGAGGGAGTTCAACTATAAATAGAGAGCCTCTCCTCGTCATTTGTATCCATTCATTCATCCATCCATCCATCTATCCATTCTCTTAAAAGAGAATAATAAAACTCTGAGGCATTTACTCTAGTTCATGTGTTATTTGTTCTTTATTCTCTTGGTGTTTGTTGCCTCTCTTGGTGGCTAGGAGTAGCCACGCTTGTGTTTGCACTTCCATACCATAGTCCAACCTTGGTGGCTTTGAGTAGCCACATTGGTGTTAAAGCTTCCACATCCGATAAGCCTTGAGGACTTGATTCCAACCTTTGTGAGTTTACATGCTCACTAGGCTTGGGTAAGTCTTACTTAGTCGCAGAAAAGACCCAGAAGTGTCTAAGGACGTCCGTCCCGTCAGGCCTTAACTCTGATATTGTGACAGTTTAGGCTTGAAGGATCTAAGAGAGTGACAAGTGGTATCAGAGCGAGTCGTTGTGGGGAGACAACGATCGTTTCATAAATGTTTGGTGAGAGGTAGTAAACTGGGTAAGTTTGATTTACTTAATGTATTGGCAATTTACTTTGGTAATTAAGTTGGCAAGGATTTACGTTCGAGCTAGTCAAGGGTAATTGAGCTAGTTCGTGATAAAGAGTGAGATATGAGACACAAGAGAAAAGGAGTTTCCGCACGCAAAGGCAAAGAGAGCCATGGTGAGAAACGATGAAAAATCCGATGGGCTTGAGAGCATAGTCGGTACCCAAGCATGAGGATACCATGATGAGTTTGCAAGAAATCTTGAGGCAATGAAAGCACACCAAGAGAAGATGGATCTCGAGGTAGAGAGGCTCAAAAGTGGAGCTCAAGGCATGTTTGAGTGAGATAGTGCGTTCACTCATGAAGACAATGAGAGTCTTGATGGGAAACAAAAAGAGAGATTGACAATAGACGTGATATGGGCTTATTTGATGGAAGATTTTTGTTTCCATGCGAAGAGGCTCATCAAGTTGGTGGAGATCTCAATTTTGTTGGAAATGAGGGTCATAAGACTTGAAAAAGCTGAGGAAGAGGCCAAAGAGACCCAGGGTGTTGTGGAGTTCTTCATTGA